TAGTAATGGTAGTGTTAGGAATGGTCGCGTACGCGTTATTTAGTAGACATTTATATGTATTTATTGCGAAAAAAATAACAAAACCCTTGTAAAATCCAAATTAAAGTTGTTAATATAAAACTGAATTAATATATTGTAAATTTATAATGTCTTTAGAGTGTATTGACTAATTTTTTAAAAGTTCACGAGTTATAAAATTTTTGTCCGGGATATGATCGACATTTTTTTCCGGGGTATCTTAACAACCAATCAAAACGAACTTCTGCTATGCTAATCTTCATTCAAAGTTTTGACGTTTTTAAAAAAGAAGCTGCAGTCAATTTTTTTTTAACTTTTAATGGATATTTCTCAACTACCAGCCATTCAAATTCGATCAATTTTTTTTACTTTAATTCCATGAACCCACAAAATTAAAGTAAAAAAATTTTCAACAGATTTGATAGTTAATTGTCGAGAAATCTTTTTTAAAGTTTAAAGAAAGAAAAATTTACTCGATTTTTAATCTTTTTTTAATTTATTAATATGATCTTCAATTTTATTTATTGTGGTTTGTATTACTGGCACAAGTAAAGCTAAACATCTTCAATTTTGTTTATTGTGGTTTGTATTACCGGCTCAAGTAAAACCAGGACCCTGAATATATACATAAAGCCTTCGTCGTATACTTAAACTAAATTTTTCAAAACGTTTGTCTATATGTGTACAAAAATGAGCTTTTTGATAGCAAATTTGCTTGACCTTTAATGTACACTTAATTAATAATAAAAAAAAACTCGGTGTACACTTACTAATTATGTTGAATTGGTATATCGTACAGTATATATAAGAATATATATAGTCCGAAAAGTTCCGAATAGAAAATGAATGAACGTAAATTACGAGCAAGGTCGGGCTAAAATTTCGAGAAAATATCTGAAGAATTCCGAAAAAGTAAGCTTATATATTTAAATCTTTGTCGTACATTAGTTTAATATTAGCTTTATCTTTAATGTACACTTATTAAAGTGTAGAAAACTTATATTAAACATCTGTCGTACATTAAGGTTCGTGTACACTTTATAATAAAATTTAGTTGTACACTCATATAAGGTTTGAAGACTAAGATTTATTATATATAACATATTAGTATTCGGGGGTCCTGTAAAACCCATACCACTCTTATGACCCGCACAATGAGAATAATAGGTTAAACAGCATAGACATGTACAATGAGAATAAATTACACAACAAACAAAAAAATAAGATTTACCGAATAATGTAAAAAAAAATAAGGACAAATCTTTTCCTGTCATCATGAATTCTTATCAAAAACTTTATTATTTCATTTTTATGATAATTTTTAAGCATGCATTTGTGCTTTGTCAGCTTATTCCTGATCCAAGAGTTCTTCAAACTAGTGTTCTGATTGGAACAAAGCTTTATTTTCTTGGAGGTTACAATGGGAAACAGACTACAAATGAAGTATTATATCTTGACTTGTCAAGTTCATTTAATACGGCCTCGCCTCCATGGAATAAAAATCCCGTTGTAATTCCTGCTAGTATATATCAAGCATCTTCATGTTTAAATTCAATTGATAAATCTACAGTTTTCTTAATTGGTGGATTAATATATGATCCAATAAATAATTATTCGATTCCTTCATCTGTATATACTTTTGACTCTAAAAATTCTATATGGACAACTCCAAATATTACAAATTTTAATAGTTCGTTCATAGGACGTTACAGAATGATGGCTATAATTGATGATAACGGAAAAATTTATATATTTGGTGGTGTTCATAATGATATATACCCGAATGGCACTTTAGGGACCAATTATTATAGCAATGAAATGAATATTCTCGATATTACTTCAATGACTTGGTCAACGTTAGTTCTTTCAGCTAATGTTCCTACACCTCGTACTGCCTATGCTGCTGTGTTATTGAAGAGTGGCCTCATAATTTATATTGGTGGGTTTGAAAGACCACAAAACCAACCAACTGGACCAACTTCTGTTGTTAATATGAATGAGGTATTCAAATTCTGATTCATTTATTTAATATTTATTTAATGAATTTTAAAATTCATTATACTATAAAATATAGGTCACAGTATTTGATACAAATTCTTTACTTTGGTTCACAACTGTAAGTACAAATTTGTATGATAATATTATCATATTTCTTAAATTTCTTATAATATTATATTTCTTCTTTTGAAATTATTTTATTGAATTTCTTCTGAAATTATTTTTATTTAGCCTACTTCTGGTAGTACAGTTGGGACTCGTAGTTATCATTCTGTTGTTTTAGGTACGTATAATTTTCTCCATTTGGTGTTTTAGACAAAAATTTTGACCTTTTCTTTTTGTTGGTTTTATAATACAGATCAGAATGGACGTGTTATAGTATTTGGTGGGTATTATGGTAACTATAAGCCACCAAGTCCTAGCCTTGCAGTGTTGGATACAAGTGTTTCACCATATAGTTGGTCAATTCCAAGCATTTCAAACCCTAATCTTACGCCTTCACTTTATGGTCACTCTGCATTGCTTTATGGAAATTATATGTTAATTGCATTTGGTAATTATAATGCATTTCAAGATTTTTATTTGTAATTAAATATTTATTTATTATAATATTGCTAATATATATAGGTATTTTAGGAAATCCACCTAGTAATCAAATTTATATTCTTGACATACGAAATTACACATGGATTACAACTTTTGATGCATCAAATTTTAACAAATCTAATGCAGAAACTACTTCTTCAGGTGATATAACCTCGTCAAAAATAAAATTAATTATTGGTCTTTGTGTAGGCATATTTTGCCTTATTTGTTTTGCAATCGCTGGATTCTTTCTTTATAAGAAATATCAACGTAGACACCAAATTTTTGAAACGCCTGGTACTCAGTACTAGTCTGTCTAACATTTTGATAGTTTATTATTGAAGTTTTAAGGTAGCTTATAAATTTTTTGATTAATTCTGAATTCTTAATGTTATTGATACCTTTGATTAATAATATATATTGCATAGATATTTTTGTATAACTTTCTATGTAATTTTAATACGTATTTCGGCAAAATCAATGTTTAAATAACAAATATAATCTTGAAATATTGTCTTAAGTCATCGCTTATAAAAAATTTTATTTATATGTAGTAATTAATTCAACCTTATTGAAAGTTTAAGGTAATGTAATTTGGGAGGCTAATATAATAAAAATGTAATTAGTGCTTTAATTTTAAATTTAACTATCCTTCAAAATTGTTCTTTAAATCCTATGTCAAACTTATAATTAAAATTCTTTTTTAAAGTAGTTCTTAAATTTGTAGAATTGTTTGTTTTGCAAATGTAAGGTTTAGTATTCTAAGTGTTTATTATTTGTTTGTCAAGATTAAGTTAAAATGATTTTTTTAAATAAATTTCTATATGTTTATTACATTTTAATAATTTGTCCTATTCATTATGCTTTATTATAAAATGCATATGCTAATAATATTCATCCTTCCAATCTGAGATTATTCTCATTCAGTTTCAAATATTCTAGCATAGTGTTCTTGGGAAATACTGTATATCCGATAATCCTTTTCCTCCTTCTGATCCATGTCTATTTTCTCTATTTTCTACAAACCTCAAATAAGTCAGCGAGATATTCTTGCAAGGCGCATCACTAATGCTTTTCTCCTGATCTAAGGTCATTATTGCCAAGTAGTGATCCAAATCTAAAATCGATAATTGTTTAGTTGGTCTAGTTGATAACCAATGATTGACTAAAATAAACCAACTAATCGAAAATTGATTAATCGATTAATCAACTAATCCATTAAACTAATTTATTTGAAATTTGAACAAAAAAGAAATCGATGATTTCTGATTTCTGATTACCGATTTCTTTAACACTACTTTTGATGCAACTATTATACTATATAAAGACCTATTATACACATATATATAATATATTTATTTAACATCTTTTTTTTAAAAAAAAAACATTTTTAATGACGAAAATTATTATCCCGGAACATGCTTTTAATGCACAAAGAGCCTACTTCTAAAATTTACTGCACCGAAAATATATATATATAAAGTTCCTTATGTTTTTACTTTGGAATTCCATGATTCTATCAGTAATGAACAAATTAATTTTCTAGTATCATGTAATAATTCTTATAAGATCGAATTTGGCGCAACTTTTAAATTTTCTTCTTGCTTATCATGCAATAGTAAATTTTATCGAGCTAGAAAAGAAACAAAATTTAATATTACACAATCAAGTTCTTTACAACATGATGAATATGCAAATTATATTCCTACAAAAGATGCTAATCAAAATATGTTACAAAATTATTAATCTGCAACTTTTATTTCTGCAAAAAAAAATGTTAAAGAAATCGGTCAGAAATCATCGATTTCTTTTTTTTTTGATCTGCAAATTTCACAAATTTTTGCAAACCGCAATTTTAGCCTGACACATGACGATAGTCATGTGTAGGTTATTATCGCGAGAATCAGCACTTAAACCAAAGATGTAAATTGTGGAAAATAATTGCTATTTAGGGTTACAATTGAATCAAGGAAGATTAGATTTGCTATTTAAGGTAGAGGGATAGATGGGAGATCGATAGTGCTTTTTTTCTTCGCTGCCTGACTTTGCCTGGCTCTTACCCCCTCAAAAAAAATAGGGTTCGGTAGTTTGGAATTATAAATTAGAAAAAGGACGAAGTATATTTGGGATTAGTAAATATAGAATAGCTTGGAGACTGACTTGAGTAGTCTCTCTGACGCTCGCAAAAATGCTTGGAAAAAAAAAAAAAGGGGGAAATACGAATTGAGTGAAAAAAGGGAAAGATTATAGTAAGGTAGAGTAGCTTAGGGACTTGTTTACCGACTTGAACAGCCTTGCTTGGTAACGTGCTTCCTGACACTCATACGTAGCAATGCTTAAAAGTATATTAATTGGGCAAAAAAAATAAAATAAAATAAATGATGATGAAGGTAGAGTAAATGTTTATAGTAAGGTAGAGAGCTCGGGGACTCACTTACCGACTGGAATAGTCTTGCTCGGTGACATGCTTCGTAACAATGCTTGAAAGTAAAAAAATAAAAAAGTTAAAATTTGTTATTACTCGATTCTCTTTTTTTTCGTCATGTGATCCCTGTAAATAAGTAAATTGTAAAGGTGAAGAGCAAGCGTTGGGCACATAAAGTAGCCGCAACGTGGCAGTACTCCCATAGTGTTTTTTCATAAATAACTGATTCGAGCGAGAATAATATAATTAATGTAAATTAATATATTAATCAATTTATTGCGGTTTGCAAAAAAAATGTGAAATTTGCAGATCAAAAAAAAAAGCAATCGATGATTTCTGATTCTGATTGCCGATTTTTTTTAACATTTTTTGCAGTAACATAATTTGACTTAACATCTTTCGTAGGAAAATATTTTGCATACTCTTCATGTTGTAAAGAACTTGATTGTGTAATATTAAATTTTGCTTCTTTCCTAGTCCGGTAAAATTTACTATTGCATGATAAGCAAGAAAAAAATTTAAAAGCTGCACTAAATTCAAACTTATAAGGATTATTACATGATATTGCTAAGGAACTTTAGTAACTTATATTTTCATTACAATAAATTTTAGAAGTTGATAAAAAAAGACATTTGTGCATCCAAAGCATGTTCCAGGATAATAATTTTAGTCATTAGAAATGATTTTTTTTAAAAAAATGTATGCTAAATAAATATATATATAAGACTTTATATAGTATAATATTAGTTAACGTTAAAAAAAATCGGCAATCAGAAATCAGAAATCATCGATTTCTTTTTTTTTTTTTGTTCTGCAAATTTCACATTTTTTTGCAGACCGATTAATCGATTAGTCGATTAACTGATTAGTCGATTAATTGAGCTTATACAACTATTAATCGATTGCATTTTTTGTTCTGATTTGGATCACTATTGCCAAGCACCAAGGAAGTCAGCGTGATATCTCTTCCGACTCAGAATAATTTTCGTGGAAATTGGGGATCGACGATTTAATAATTTTACGTAGTACAAGCACATGACACAATGTTTCATACCTAATTTTTTTTTATCTTTATTCTTAAAATGACGTTCCCAGATGAAATACTTTTAGAAACGTTCAAGTATAACCAGACTGATTATCCAAGTTTATTTTCATGCCTTATTGTAAGTCGACAATGGTGCAGAATTATTATACCAATATTATGGAGTGAACCACTAAAATATTTCGACGATAAACGACTTATAAGTATTTATCTTACAGCATTAAACGCTAAAGAACGAGCTTCATTAATCCCCCTTAAAATTGTTCTTCCAAATCATCCGAAAACACTATTTGATTATGCAAGTTACACTACTTATGTTGGCATTAAATTGGACAATGGAGTTGCAAAATGGCTCAATCACGATACCAAAAGTTTTGTAGAAGAAGAATATGAGGTTGAAATTGTTATGAAGTGTTCTCTAGTCGCGATGTTTCTACGAGCAAGTGAAAGGCTTAAATATTTAGATATTGAGGGAATTATCAATAAGATGGTATTTGAAAATATTTGTATGAGTAGCACCGTCATCAGTTTTAAACTTTGTTTGATTGATTTGGATTACGAATGTATGAATGGAATAACGAAGGTAAGGTTATTATGGAAAATACTTCTTTAACTGATTTAGATATTTCCAGTAATAACTTTGATTCTGAAGATGGGAAGACAATAGCAAGAGCTCTTTGTAGAAATAATACTTTAACCCACCCACTTAAATATTAGGAATAATGAGATTGAATCTGAAGGGGGAAAGGCATTTGCGGAAGTTCTTCGTAAAAATAGTTTCTTAATTTTGAAGGAGGCAAGGCATTAGCAGAGGCACTTCAAATAAATACTACCCTAAAAACTTTAAATATTAGTAGTAATGCCATTGGCTTTGAAGGTGCAAAAGCATTGTCGGAGGCACTTCTCATAAACACTACCCTAACTTGCTTAGATATTAGCAGTAATTATATTCTTTTTGAAGAAGAAAAGTTATTATCGACTTTTTGTAATTTGACTTCTTTAAATATTAGCGGTAATATTGGTTTCAGGGAAGGAAAGACATTGACAGATGCTCTTTATGTAAACACAACTTTAACCTTCTTAAATATTAGCAGTAATATGATTGGTTTCGAAGGAGGAATAGCATTAGCCGAGGCTCTTCGTATAAACACTACTCTTACTACCTTATACCTTTCTAATAACGGGCTCGGTTCTATAGTAGGAAAAGAATTTGCAGAAGCACTTTGCGTAAACACTACTTTAACTTCTTTAGATATTAGCAATAATAATATTGGTATTGAAGGAGGAAAAGCTTTTGCAGAAGCCCTTTGCGTAAATTCTGCACTAACTACCTTAGATCTTTCATAAAATAAGATTAATTTTGAAGTCGGAAAAGCTTTGGCAGATGCTCTCTGTAAAAATAATACGTTAATCCACTTAAGCTTCTTTGGCAATTGCGACATAAGCGCTTTAAAAGAAGACTTTCTTAAAAACACTACACTAAAAAAGTTCTATTATTCAAAGTTTACGCCAGATATGCATTTGCCCTTGAATCGCGTAAATTGCTTGGAACGCTTGAATCGCTTAAATCAGATGCTAAATTCGAAATTAATATTTCTTTTAACGAATATGCTTTTATTGTCTATTTGGCTTTGGTTGATTCCTTCTATATTGTAATATTGTGATTCATATATTAAGGTGCTATTAAATTTTATTTAGTAAAATGAGCATAATAAAATGAGTATAACTCATTTAAAATTCTTGATCTTCAAATGGTGAATGAATATGAACATACTACTTTACTAATTAAATTTTATATGACAAGATATTATGATTTTCAAACATAAACAACCATATCGGTATTTTTTAGGCCAGTCCTAAAATTGTCTGTCTGAAATCGTCCGAAAATACTCCTTGTCAACCTTACTTTGCACGTAATTTTGAATAATACCATCTATTTTCGATTTTTGTGGGACAGCGTATGTAGCTACTTTATACAGTATTTATAAGGTTTAAAATACTTTTGAAAAAATCATTACAAAAGTCATTTAAAGGTTAAACAAATGTTAATATTTACTATACAAAATACTATAAAAAAGATCTCAAAACTAGCATTCGAAAAATGGAGCTGATAGAATTATTGAATATCTAGTAGTGATACGGGTCGATGAAAAAATCATGACCGGGGTCGATTCGGGCCGGTCGACCGGGCCGAACTTTTTTGCTAATATAAATTTTTCTAATAAAAATTAGTCTCGATATCTATATCAAACGTGTAGAAAGCCATCAGGTAGTTTATTGCCAAATTCTAGTATACTAAAATCATTTGGTTTTTATTTTTTTGTCTTTAATTATAATACGTTAGTATTTTATGTTGATTAATTGCCTCTGCACCTAACAAGCACTTCCATTTCCTAAATTATTGTTTGCTAATTTATCACCTAAATTGGCCAACTAATAAATTATTAATGATTTTTGGCCAATTTTTTTAGCCAGTATAAGAGAATTGATTCTAGAACTTCTTATCGACTGGCCCGGCCCATAAAGGTTCAGGCTGAGTGTCGACCCGCCCGTCGGCCCGGCAGTTGGGCCGGGGCCAGCCCGTATCACTAATATCTAGCGAAAATCTGTAAATGCTGATTTCAAATTTTAATAACTTTTAGAACTTACCCATATTAATTAATTGAATACAGCGTTCTTTGATTTAAAACATGTATGTGAATATTTATTCATTAGGGGTTTCGAAGTTAAAATGCGGAAATATGATTTTAATTGAAATTGATGACGTATTTATTTAAAAATAAGTGATCCGGCAATGAGGGTTTCAAAGTTAACAAATAAGTGACGTATTTCAAAAATAAATAGGATTTTTTCATTAGCATTTGAATTATATATTGGAAAATAAAATAAGATTCTCTGATTTTAGTTTCGAAACCCCCTAATCTTGTCACCAATTGAACAAAAGTTTTATTTTTTATTTTAGTATTAAATGACATTTCCGAATTTAAATTTTTGAAAAAACAAATAAGATTTTAAACACACAGTTAATTTCAAAATACCCCACTTATTTGTTAACTTTGAAGCCCCTATTGTACTCGATTTAACCGGAATAATTGTAATATTCCGTAATTACGATCAGTTTTGATAGGTCGCCACTTTGGTAACATTTAATACACAGTAGTATATGTCACTTTCTATAATAGAATTTATATGTGTTCATAAAATGACCAGAACACTGATCAATTTGATGAAATTATGTACTGACAACTTTCATTTACAGGCTTAATTTACTTAATTTACAACGTCCGTGATAAAAATTTAAACTAGAGTATATAAATATTTACTTGACAGCACTTATTTCAATATTAGCTTAGCTTCAACATTTATAATTCATATGCTAACTACAGTATTTACCTTTAATATTTATCAGAAGTCAATAAAGTAAATTAATATTGCTTTAAATAATTCTTTTATGGATTTTAGTCTTTAAGTAATAGGGTTTATTTTCGAAACACCAGCTTTAGTAAAGTTAATTGAATACTAATTAATTTAACTAAAATATACCCAAATTACACCATTTGGGGCTTAAAAATTAACAAATAAGTGGTGTATTTCGAAAATAAATATGAATTTTTTTAAATAGCATTTTTACTATGGCTTGCAGTACCGTATTGTATAAATAAATTTGAGGGTGCACTATAACACTTTCCAAATATAGAAATGCAGAAGTTATTAATTTAGTTTAGCGGTATCTAAAAACATAAATTTTCAAACCTTATATACGTTAATTTGCAACTGTCCATATCGACGGATTTGCAAAATCGTCTAAAATAGATGTAGTAAATAGCTTTTTATACATCGATAATTTTTTGACCAAAATGTTCATCTCACCGTGACGATTCCAACGAACCTGAAATTATCAAACTCCAACCACTGGATCCTGAGATAGTTAATGTTTTTACCAAGATGACTCACCTTTAGAGTGGAGTAATCGTTAGACCATGTCTAACTGATTACTCCACTCTAAAGGTGCGTCATCTTGGAAAAACCTTAACTATCTCAGGATCCAGTGATTGGATTTTGATGATTTCAGGCTCGTTAGAATCATCACGGTGAGACAAACATTTTGGTAATAAAATCATCAAAAAAATTATTGATGTATAAAAAGTTATATAAATTTTAAAAAAAGTCAAATTACATCTATTTTAGACGGCATCACCCATTAATCAAATCAGAAATTTATTAAGACACTAATTTTCCAGTATATTGCATACTAGAGAATTAGATCATTTAGCTGGATGATAAAGTAATAATAGTTTTTTAATATAATTTGTACTAAGATATTTTATTAATGAGATTTATTTTCAATATCACAAAGCTATTACAAATTAATAGGATTCAAAGCTCTTAATAGAAAAGCGTAAGAAAGCATAATTTTAATAATCTATAGAATCATTAATAAGCTATTATAATTTTTAACCAATTAAAAAGCCCAAATTGATAATTACAATAATTTGAAAAGAGCAGTAAAATAATAAGCTCTTAATGATTAATCAGAATTGATTTTATTTTGTTTTAAATATATGCTCAAGAATAATTAAACTATGGGTTTTGGTATCAAAAGGCTTTTGGAAGTTTCTACAAAATGCAAATATATAATAAATCAATTCGAAGAAATGGTATCAAATAAGTTTTATATCGGTTACCTTACCTTGATAATATGATACCGTATGGGCAAACTTGCTTTTATAATTTTCCTTAGAAAATGTTTGTATATGTGCAATATTCACTATCTTATTTTTGGAAAGCTCTGTCAAAAAATTTTCATCATTTTTCCAATTCATAAAAGTCTCGCAAATTTCTTCAGCAGATGGACGGTTTTGAGGATTTGTATCCCAACATCTTTCTATAATATTCATATAATATTCTGGTGTTCCTTCAAGATATGTTGGTCGTAAACCATTTGCGATTTGAATTTGAAGTTGTGGTCCAAATACTTTATCAAAAAATACGGGCATTCCAGAAACTATTTCCCACATAATCATACCAAATGAGTATATGTCAGATTCCATCGTATATGGGCTTCCTTCTAAAACTTCTGGAGCTATATATGGTAAAATTCCACAAATTTTCTCTAGCGACATCTTAGATGCAATTTTGACCGAGATTAAAAGTCCTAAGTCTGCGATGTATGCACTATAAAAGCTATCTTGCAATATGTTGCCACTATGTAAATCTCTGTGAATGAGTTTTTGTGAATGAATGGCCTGAAGATCAGTAGAAATGCAAATTAATAAATTTAATTTGTCCTTCCATTCCATTTGTGATATATGAAAAAGATTATCACGCAAAGAACCTTTTGTCGCATATGCCATAACAAGAACGTAATCACCAGATTCATTTCTTGATATACCATGACACTTTAAAAATGTTGGATTTTCATAACCAATATCACAATATGCCTTTAGCTTTAATATTAAAAAATAAATACTCGCATTAGATATAAAAGTCGGGCAAAAACTATATTTAAAAAATTATATAATATGATTACCTCTTTTATAAATTCTTCACGATTGTATTTACTTGACTCATGAAGCAATTTTAGTGCAACATTACTTGATATTCTTTGATGTGACCACGTTGCATAAAATACGGTTGCAAATCCACCTTGCCCAATCTTTTCAATATTTTGAAATTCATTATAAGGAATCCATAACAATGGGTATTTATGTTCAGCTAACATTCTCTTTAAGTCTTCTTCAATATCATTAATTTCATGTACCCAATCATTTTTAGCTGAGCATAAATAAAAAGCTTTTAGTTATTGTATTTTATACTACAAATAGATAGACATAAACTATTATAGAAAGTTACCTGATAATAGACTTCTATGGCTAATTAATTATATGAATAAATTTAATTTAATAAAAATTTATGATCAAAAATAATAAACAATTTACTTACATTTGATACAAATTAGTGGCCTTTTGTATATCTCTTGTTACCCCGATTCCATTTCGGTAACAATAACCAAGATTTTGTATTCCAGTAGCGTGTTTCATTTCAACTAATTTTTCGTAATAAATTGTCGCCTGATGCTCATCCTTTTCAACTCCAAATCCATTTTGATAACAATGGCCAAGATTATTTATTGCATCTTCATGTCCCATTTCAGCCGCTTTTTGGTAAAGCGCAAATGCCATTTTATAATCTGTTTCAACCCCAATTCCATCTTGATAACAAGCGCCAAGGCCAAGAATTCCACCGCTATGCCCCATATCAGCTGCCTTTTGATAATAAATAAATGCCTTATGCTCGTCCTTTTCGATTCCAATCCCATTTTTATAACAAGAACCAAGACTATTTATTCCATTAACGTGCCCCAACTCGGCGGATTTTTGATAATAAATAAATGCTTTATGTTCATTCCTTTCAACTCCGATTCCATGCATATAACAATAACCTACATTATATGTTCCCATGAGGTCTCCTAAATTAGCAGATTTTTGGTAGTTAATGAATGCTTTACATTCATCTTTTTCAACCACAATTCCATTATGATAGCAATAGCCAAGATCATTAATTCCATTAGAAACTCCCATTTCGGCTGATTTTTGAAAATTGGCAAATGCTCTTTGTTCATTTTTTTCAATCCCTATTCCATTTAAATAGCAATGACCAACAC